GCAGGAGTCCCAAGGGCCGCAGCCAGCCTGGTCTCATCTGCCCACACAGGTGGTGGTATCCACAACAGTGAGTGTGGATGGACACGTGCTGGCCGTGTCGGACAACATGTTTGTGCACAACAACTCCAAACATGGCCGCAGGGCCCGACGCCTGGACCCTTCTGAAGGTCAGGACTCCCAGCCCAGCCCTGGCCAACCTCAGAGTCCACCTTGGTGCAGTCCCCTGACCCGGGTCCTCTCCTACCTCCCAGCTGCCACCCCCTGCATCAAAGCCATCAGCCCCGGGGAGGGCTGGACCACGGGAGGCGCCACCGTCATTATCATCGGAGACAACTTCTTCGACGGGTTGCAGGTCGTGTTTGGCAACGTGCTCCTGTGGAGCGAGGTGGGCCAACCCCTGCCAGTCTCCCTCTGAGTCTCAAGGCTAGGCCCTCTGCTCAGGACTAGACCTGCAGGCCTCCCCTCTGCTCTCACAGCTCATCACTCCCCACGCTATCCGAGTGCAGACGCCACCAAGACACATCCCTGGGGTAGTAGAAGTGACCCTCTCCTACAAGTCCAAGCAGTTTTGTAAAGGAGCCCCTGGCCGCTTTGTCTACACAGGTAAGGAAGGAGGCGGCTGAAGCAGGGACTAAGATCCACAGAGATAGCCTCTGAGCTATGACTCAAACACTTGTAGGGGGTGACAAAATCTGCAGGTGGCTATGTGCCCTAAGCAGCTGCTCCTCATCCCCCCCACACCTTCACCCACACCTACTAAGTGATCAACACACACCCTTACACCTACTAAGTGATCTTTCAAAGTCCTTTTTTCCATGACCCGTTTTTCTTCCTGAGTTTTTGGCTCCTTAGAAACTACTGTTATTTCAAGTCTTCTCATCAAGGTATGCTCTCCCTCCTAGCCATGTACTCTGGAGTTCAGAACCTTTTCTACAGTTTTCTTTTTCTTTTTGTTTGTTTGTTTGTTGCTTTTTCATCTCAAGCATGCTTCCAAATGGGCTCACTACTCTCCCCTGGGTGTCTTGGGTCTTCCAGGCTGCACTCTACATTCACATATAGGCATGTGTAAGCCCACAGACACATACGCCGCACCCTGGTACAATGCCTTGGTGAACAGTTAGCACAAGACTCCGGGGGAAGCAGTGAAAACTGTGTTCAGTTTGACCACTCTTCAGTTGAATACATTGCCATCTTTGCATCTGGCTCCCGCTCAAGCCACTTGCTTTTCCCATACTCACTGAGGCATGGGGGCTCAGGATACCCTCAGGTAGCTCTATCATAACTTGGGCAGGCTGAGCTGCAAACACAGGATGGGTGGATGGGGGGGTGGAGTTTCAGGGGGAGGACTTGACAGAGGAAAACCCATACCTGGGAGCATGTGCTGAACCAGGCTAAGCTGTAACTACAGAGGAATAGGGAGGTAGACTTGGCAGCAGAAGACTGGCTAGAACCAAGCCCAGGAAGTGGGTACTTTATGCTTTGGGAAAAGGAAAGGAAATGAACTTAAGTCTTGCATTGGAAGTGAAGTAAGTAGAACTTTGAGACAAGATAGAGTAAGAAGTTCAAGGGGGAAGGGGAGGGAAGAGTCAGGGGCTGAGCACTGCATCTTCCTGACAGCGGTCTCTTTTCTGAGGTGCATGCAAACCTTGACAGCCACATGTTACCGAGAAATTGCCTGATCCCTGATAAATAAAGGTTGTTAAGAGTTGGGTTTTTTTTTAATGGCAAATTGATATGACAAAATGCAAAAAAACCTGAGTCCTACCCCCAAGAATATGAATAGAGAGAGAGAGAGAGAAAGAGAGAAAGAGAGAGAGAGAGAGAGAGAGAGAGAGAGAGAGAGAGTTGATGCCAACCTTGACACAGAGCCTGGCTCAGTAAATACTTATTGAATTAATTCTAACCAAATAAATGACGTAACTGAGAAGACGCCCCTGACATTCTCTGGTACTTGAGCGAGGATTTTTCTGGACGACCTGGGGCTGGACTTGGTGGAGGTGAGTTCTGCTCTGGGAGGGGTGTCCTCCAAATATTGCCGTTCTCCGCAGCCTTGAATGAGCCTACCATTGACTACGGCTTCCAGAGGCTACAAAAAGTCATTCCCAGACACCCGGGGGACCCTGAGAGGCTGCCCAAGGTACCCAGAGGATGGGCCGGCAATGAGGATGTCCAATGGGCGAGGGTATGAGGAGATCCCTCCTGGGCCGGGCCCCCGCTGCGTCCCCAGGGGCTGCCCCTCGGTCCTTCTGTCTCCTCCCTGCCCTAGGAAGTGCTGCTGAAAC